TGACCGTTAATCTTGCACGAAGCCGTCTACAATGTTCCTGTCTTGCCTATCAAGCTGGCGTTACCCACCAAGTCTCCCCCTACATTTGATGTCATACCGGGGTCCACAGCAAAGAAGGAGCCGCCCAACAAAGCGCTGGCGCCCATGGGGATGAGTCCTCCCATCTCGCCCAGTCTCCCATCTCACCTTCACGAACACCTAGTGCAAGACCCAAATTGCCAGCATATGACAGGGCGTCGCCCACACCCATGGACTCCTCGCCAAAATCCCTCCTCACTTTGCATCAAGGATCCATCACAAAAAAAAAAAAAAAAAAAAGGAAAAGAAGAGATGGGCAGTGCCCAAACCAAAGCCCAAGAAGCCAAAGAAAAAAAAAAGAAGGAAAAGAAGTGACGCCCAGGCCAAACCAAGCCAAAAAAAAAAGGAGTCAGGAAAACCAAAAAAAAAAAGTTGAAAAGTCAAACAAAATGGGCGGCGCCCAGTCAGCCCATAAAAAAAAAAGGGGAGGAAAAGTCAAATAAAGTGGGCTGCGCCTTATCAGCCAAAAAAAAAAAAAAATTTGTTCGATACCTATCATGAGAGTCCTGAAGACGAAAAAAAAAAATTCCTGCTCACTCAGAGAAAGACGAAGCACATGCCCTCAATCCCTTCCTCTCTATGAAAATCAGAGGCTTGGGGCATGGGGGGCAAATGACGAGCACGAATTTGACTGAGATAAGCCCAATGAAAACAATCCGAGAAAACTCGAAGAAAAGTCTAACTCTAAACTGGATCGACCCATTGAAAAAGAAGACATCAAGAAGTCAACAACCAAAGCCTCAAGGCCAACGCCCAAGAGACTTAGCAATTGGGCGTCGCCTAGGCTGGCCCCTTGGGCGCCTCCCTCTTCGCTCCTCTTCACTTTGGAACTCCAGGTCCAAGCCAAGACAGGTCCAGGTCCAGGTCAAGCTCAATCCAACTAATGTTCTCCTTCGGATGAATAGAAGCACGAGGGAAGATAATATGGAGATTGACATAGAAGATCTCATACCATAACAATACTTGCCAAAACTATGGAATTTTTTTCCCTCACGTCACCGCCTCCATTACCTTACTCTAGCTATATAATGTAAGCCCTCTCAACATTGAAGGCACGCCTCCAACGCCTCCGAACCTTACACTCATTGTTTTCTCTCTGTCTCCCTAAAAACACTTTATTTCTCTAGAGTACTATCATTCATCAACATTAATAAAGAACACAGGCCGCCGCTGCCATTCCCGAGAGTAGACGTAGGTCACCCAGATCGAACCACTATAAATCTTTGTGTTTGTTGCTTATTTACTGTTTTTATCCATTGATTGTCGTTGATTGTTCATTAATTGCTCATTAATCACACCCTTACACATACTTGACTGTTGATCTTGCACATAGACAGTTTTGTGCATCATCAAAACCCATTCTTTTGGAAGTGAAATGGACTCACATAAGTTGGTTTGATAATGATATGAGATACATTGTTGATTATTAATTGCAGAATAGTTCATAGTTTTAACATAAAATAGTTTGTTTTTAAAATGGTTCACCTGGGAAGTACGTGGACATCAACTACTTAAATAAGAAACAGAGAAAGGTCCACATAATATATTATAAAAAAATGCAAAGTGCACCTCATAGAAGAATTTACCGTAATTTCTAAGCAACAAATAATTAATAGGTTTTATGCTTTCAAAATCTCTTGTGCTGGAGCTCACTACCGTCGGTTTTGTTATAATAACAAGAGGGAAATACAAAACATGGACAAAAGAGAGCTGGTGTAAAGACATTAAGGGCACAGACGAGGTGTAAATTAGTAACGTCGATGTTTCCATAATTAGTAACGTCAAGAGGAGGTGTAAAGGCATTCAGAAGGTGAAGGGGCACAGAGGATGTAATTGGCTTTAGAAGATTAAGGAAGGGAAAAATTAAAATTCAAAATTTTTTCATTTAGTTGTCTTTTATTAGTAACTAGTAATGCACGACGACGTGCATTGCACTAAGTAAATTTAAATAATATTTTTTTAAAAAAATTATATTATATGTGCAATTAAATTAAGTAATAAATTAGATTAATTCGTATTTTACTTATTATTAAATTTAATTATTAATTTATTTTATAAGTTTTTGAGTAACTAATATGTTATTTATTTAGGTATCTCTTCGATCCCTTTAAGTATTTACACATTTAATTATATTATAGAATTTTTTTTTTCACATAGATTGATTAGATCATTTATAATATTATTATATTATTGCACATTGGAAAATATAATATAACATATATTTTAGTGTGGAATTCAACATGATAACTATATGTATATAATAATTAACATATATAAGATTTTACTTTTTTATATTGATATAAATAATTTTATGTAACTATACTAGTAATGAATGAATTCAAAAGAATTTAGAAGTCCTAATAAAAATTCAAAAAAAATTGAAAATCAAATAGGTGTAAAAAACAAAAATTAGATAAAAGTATATAGGCGAGTGTAGTTGACTTTATCATAATAATTAGACATAACATATGTATAATCTATATAATAAAATAGTTAGATTGTTTGTCTTGAACCTTTCGCGACTTAGATTGATTTTGATCTAATGGTCCTAATTGAACTTTCATTTCTTTTACAACTGTAAGACTTTCATCTCTCATATAACTCTCTATCTCTATCTCTATCTCTCTCATATCATTATCTTTTTCTTTTTGTTTCTCCTGTGTTATTTTTGTTATTATTTATACTCCATAAAATATATGAAACTATATATTATACAATTATTTAATTCATGAAACTAATTTAAAGTTTCTATATATTTGACGACATGTATTTTTTCACTTCCTTTTTAATTTATAAATAACACTTAATATAAATAAAAAATAACACATTGACTATAAACATTAAATAATATTTAATACGAAATGAACCTTAGATTATAAATTAATATATAATTTTATTAAAAATTGAAATTTAATTTTATCCAATTTATATTCAATTTTTTTGAATTAATATTAAATTAATTTTTATTTTTATTAAATTAATATTTAAGTTCATTTAATCAATTTTTTGGAGTACTAAATTATATCAAATTTTTAGGTACTAAATCAAATTTTATTTGATTTTATTAAATTTTTAATTTTTTTGATACTAAATTTGGAGAAATGTAATTTTAAAGATAATAATTTTTTTTGTGATAAAATTATCGATTTCCATTAGAAACATTGACGGAAGAAAGATAAAGGGGGTCTTCGTGCAATGAATTCAAATATCAGGGGGTCTCCATATAATCTATAAAATGTCAAGAGGTGTCCGTCTACTATTGCCAAAACTCAGGGGATGTCCATGATTTTTACCTTATTTTTAATTAAATATTAATTTATTTTAAAAACTTGAATTATTTTATTTCTAATAAAAGTATTTATTGGTTAGGAGGGTTTTTTGATAACCGAAAAAGAAATGTGTGTGAATGTATTTTTGTGTATATTTATATGTGGAGGATTGAACATTTAGTGACAAAATTCATAATTATATTGTGTCATTTAGAGTTGAATGGTGATAGTGGTGATAAATTCACGAATTTTATAAATGAGCAAGATTTGATTAATTAAAATTTGTGAATTTAATTGTGTTATGATAGTATATTTTTTTTTGCCTTAATGTATTTATTATATTGGGATAAAGAACATTGAAAATATGGTGGTTGAGTTTATAATTATGTTGTATTATTAAATTGTGTGGTAATAGATGTGATAAATTCATAAGTCTTATAAATGAGTAATATTTTATTTATTGTTTAAAGATCGTAAATTTCAATGAATTATGTTAGTATTTTTTTTCCAGAGACATTTGTATATATGATGTTGTTTTAGAAAGTTTTTTTATATTTTTATGACAATTCCATTAACATATAAGATATGATCGACGATATATTTCGAGTCATTTTAAAAGAAGAATTGATATAAATATTTTTAGGCCTTTTCTTTTGAATTTGGGCAATTGTCTAAATTTTTTTTATTTGTTGTATAGTGCCTGCAAGTATGAGTAATGACTAGTAATTTAACATATATGTATTTACTTCTTCATATAGATATAGATAATTGTATGTAATTGTACTATTAATAAATAAGTTCAAAAAAATTTAGATATATTTATAAAAGATTTTTAAAATAAATTAAAAGTCAAATATGTGTAAACAATAAAAATTAGATAAAAGTATATATGTGGATATAATTGAATTTATATAATAATTAGGATAAAATATAAAATTAAATTGTTTTTACATATACTAATATTTATAAGTAGTATAAATATAAATATAGATAGATATAAAATAAATAAATAGATAGATATAAATAAGTACATTTGTTATTATTTATCTATTTCTAGAATTTGAGAAAAAAAAAAGCACAAACAATATGCAAAATAAAAAATAAAACCCTCCACCCGATCGCTGCCAAGCCAACCTCTAGATCCAAGCGTTGTCATATCTAGTGTTACCCGAGTAAATACTTGATAGTCAATCTCTCTCGTTAATAGGGTAATATTATGTTTACTAAATATCTATTTTATATAATGTGGTATAATTTTTTATTATTAAATAAACACATTTTATTAATATTTAATGACAAAAGTTGTACGACATTATTTAATAAAAAAGATTTGGTAAAATTTTTTTTTGTAAACATTACATTTTCCGCTTTATCCCCTTAATGAAGCGTTACGCTGACGATTGACCTCATCCCATCCAACGAAATTCCAAATATAGTGCCACCATTCCCCTTCTACCATCTTGTCTCTCGGACACTGACTCATGTTATATCCGTAAATTCGCCTTCAGAACGTCCAAGTACACAAAACAAACGTCATCTGTTTTTCACAGCAACACCGCGGTTTCCGAGACAAGCTTCGATCATAGTCCCATTCTCTCGTTCCCCTTCCCCCTCTCTCTCTCTCTTTCACACAGACGCACACCGTCTTCATCTATGGCGTTTCGGACAGCGATTTCGAGGAGAGTCCTGATGTCGAGCTCGGCAGTTGGAGCGCGATCCAAGACGTCGTGGTGGAGAAACGTGGAGCCCGCTGCGAAAGACCCAATTCTAGGCGTCACCGAAGCTTTTCTGGCAGATCCTAGTCCCGACAAAGTCAATGTAGGAGTCGTAAGTGTCTGCCAATCCGCAATTCATTTTCATTTATTTCTGATCCTTGGGTTTGGCTTCCGAGAACACAGTCAACAATAATAGGGATAGCTCAGCTCAATTTACATTTTTTTCCCGAATTTCATCTTTTGGTTCTTTCCTGGCAAGCAAAGAGCGATAAACTTATTTGGCTTCAGTATGTCAGTTATCAATGTAAGTCTTTGGCTGCTGAAGAAGCAGAGGAAAGGGAATAAAATATTTCAAAATTTAAGCTGAATTGTGCCTTACTGAATTTCTTTTCTTGTCCATAATTTCTCGGCAACCAAACAACAAATCAAACAACGAATCAATAATTTGGGTTGATCGGCCAAAAGAGAAGAAAAAGAGTGGAACTTTGGGCTCAGTAATGACGTTTAATGGGGAATTTCTGTTGCTTTCCTGGAGTTTCTTAGCAGCCAAGCGGTGAATCGCCGATTCTGATTTGTTTGTGTTTTCAGTTGGTAAAGTGGGTTTTTGGGTGTTTTGTGAAGGGTGCTTATCGTGACGACAATGGAAAACCAGTTGTTCTCGAATGCGTCAGAGAAGCAGAGCGGAGGATTGCCGGAAATCTGAACATGTGAGTTCTTTTCTCTTCCACTTTCTTTCAGTTGTTTTGTCTTAGTTGAACTCTCGAGAGTAGCATAAGTGAACATAAGCGAGACCTTATTTCAAAACACAAAAACATTTTATAGGGTTTTAGAGAATTCGTATGAGAGTATTGCGGGAAGATCTAAATCATGAGTACTGAGAGCATCCTAATCTTAGTGAGCAGCATTATGTGTTACAAGAGTGAGGTTTATTATGGAAAATTGACATGACATACATAGTAGTGTGTGCTTCTAGGCATCTTTTTTTCTTCTTCTGTTCAAAAAACAAAAATTTGTCTTTTTCAAGTTGCAACAATTGCAGTTGTAGTGGTCCCACGTTTTTTCCCTTTTATCCTCCACTTACCAACTTTATTCTTCTAGTTTTATTCGTTACTTTTCAAATAAACAGCGACTTGATGGTGGTTCTCTTGTGTGTTCCTTTTTTATTGTGGTTTTTGACCTTTACGTTTTGGATAGTGGATGCGGATTCCGCTGATATTTCACAGTTGCTTTTGAGATTTTATGAATTAATAGGATAAAATTTCTTTAATATTTATGACTGAACTCTCTAATTAATTAATTTTATATTTTTAAAAAATGAAAATGTTTTAGAGATGTTTTGAGTGGGCATAAATTTAAATATTTATTCCTTCAACAGAAATAGAGTTTAGGATTAATTATAAAATACCCCCTCAAATTTTGAGTCATGTTTCAATTAGCTCCTCCTTATGGTTTCAAGTTAATAAATTTGGCCCCTTCACGTTTCTATTGGACTAATCTAACTGATAAAATAGATGAAAAATATAAAAGAAAAAAAAATACCAGTCAACCATAACGTTTTTTTTTTTTTTTTGTTCTAACTACCAGAAGCTACCACCATCTCCACCTTTATTATCCATGCCACTGCCCCAATCATCACCTTTTCCACCACCAAAGCTTCACCAAATACATACTACCATAGTGCACTTCAAGTAGAATTTAAATCACAAGTAAATTCAATCAAAAATTAACATTTTAAAAAAGATAAAAAATCATTCAATCACATATTCATTCATTCTCACTCTTTTGGAATGGCAGTCCCAAGATCCGTTGACGTTGCGTTTAATTAATTACAAAAATTTATTAGAAGATTGCTCATACGAAGAGTCCCAATTATTAGAAAACTGCTTAAACAAAGAGTCAACTATTATAGTCATGTTTTCAGTTTCAATGCAATAAGGAGTCTGTAACAATCTTTGATAAACTTAGTTACCTACATGTTGCACTACACTGGGATTTCTGAAATAATTTTTTCAGCGCGAAATCAATTTTTGCTATGATAAACTGCTTCTGAACAATTGTCTTCCTCTGAAAATTCAATACAAAAAAAAAAAAAATATTAGCAATAATATATGGCCCTATGCCTCCATGAGGGAGTTTTCATACTACCATCAATATTACAACATGAATAAACCATCGTGTAAATCGTTTGCAATAATACTAACTACGATTAAATTGTAGTGAGATCTAATCAAATAAAACGATAATAAAAAATGTGACTATAATAGCGGGATAAGAACGTTGTAAAATAGAGATTAGCACAGTTTTACGTTCTACCCATCAATTATAATACATTTAATCATTTTACTTGAACAACATTGTTGCATTCAATATATACGCGGTATCAACATGACTCTAATACCACATATTAGAACAGTAATCCTAACATCCGTTGACGACGCGTTTAATTGATTATAATAATTTATTTGTCTGTTAACCCTACAAGGGGAACTTAGGATTTAATTTTGTCAAGTAGATTTGCACGAATGAAGATAGATACCAATCGAATATCAGGCTCGAATGATCTTTTACCGTATATATTTCCACGCCAAAATTCGAATGCAATGTGGGCCGCAAACTTTCAAGTTTTCTCCCATGATTTCTCTCTTTGCTTTTTCTAAATGTGAAGGTAAATGTTATGATTGAGATAACTAGGGAGTGTATTTATTTATAGGTTATATTAGAGACCCTAAGAAAAAAAGGGTCGGGTATCCAATTGACTTATGAATCCTATGTCCAATTTAGAATAAACATCTTACAATCCATAAATAATAAGTTGGTTTACTAAAAATTTATTATTGATCTTATGGACCTTATTTTAAAATTATATTTGAGCTCTTCGTTATTATATGCTTAATAATTTCTCCACATTCAAGATTACAGATGTTCATCAATTAATTAAACCATTGACAATTATATTTAATTGACTTCTTTTTATTCTTGAGATCTTACTACTCAACTTATTTGTTATGTTGGATAATTAAATCCACCTACAGGGTTTGACATGGACAAAACTTATGAGATTTTTGAAGAAGACATCATCAATCCATTTAAATGTCAGGACGTAGTTTCTTTTAATAATTAATTTCTACTATACAAATAATGTCATCTCTCAATTCACCGAATTTGTTGACGTAAATATGAATCTTAATTTTTTATTTAATTAAAGTAACAATTATTATATGCATATGTTAATTAAATAATTCAGATTTAAGAGATTAAACAATCATAATAACCATGAGGTTTTTATTTTCTTATTTAGTCAATAAAAATATAATAACCTCAATAACGGTTATGTTCAATATACAAAGTGTACGAGTGCAATAATTCGAGACATCAAACAGTCTCTTATAGCCAAGATAGACTATGTCAGAAGATTGTTCTACGATTATAACATCCATCCAACTATGAACTGACACGTGGCAACCCATTGCGGTCAGAGCCCGTGGGATAGTCCTTGGTAGAGGCTGAGCATAGGATACTTTAGGTTGAGACCGAGCATAGAATGCTTGATCGCCAATTAATGTTTACTCGGTTCTTGCCGAGTATTAAATGGCATCAATGTATGAGCCTGAAGCAGCGCGTTGATGCGACAAGCCATGATTAGCTATCTAATTTGTAGAGAACTTAAGACTAACCATCAAAAGGAAAAAATATAGCCCTTTGCTGGAGGAGCCATCGGGGGGTTCCCGCTGAGACCCCTATGTCAACTCATAAGTGGTCGGCGTTAGACTGAATATTGGGGTAGAGCACTCGATGTTCGAGAAATGCAGTAATGACTGCGTAATCAGATCTCAACGTGTAAACCCAGATGTCCAATTGCTTGGCATTAATGAGTTATGACGGGATAACACTTATTACTCTAGATAGAGGGCACATGCTACGAATCCTAGGATTGGAGGTTAAATGGGAGCCACCACATTGCAATGAAAGGTATAAATATCCCACTAATAAGACAAAACGAAGGTATGTAAGTAAAAATAGCTCTGCTGTGTACACTTTCTCACACTTAAGACCCGACTAAATTAATCATCAGAGGGGATAAGCCAGGTGTACTCTCAACCCCTTTTTTGACGTTGTTCCCAATTTCAGGATCGAACATCGAGCTCACTTGAAAGGTTGCTATCTCGATCCATTGTAGGAAATCACATCTGTAGATAGTATGTCCAATTTTATCTAAAACTATGAACCTTTACTCATATCATACTAGGATCTGATAATCTGATCTTCTGTTAAGCCAAACTCTACATACCATATTATCTATAATCTAAAATATAAAATAAAAGACACATATTCATTATATATATTTAATATAATACAAACATTTTACCTATAAAGATTCTCAATAAAAAATGAAGAAATTTTATTAAATAATAAACTGAGTTTCACCATAAAAAGTAAGTTTTTAGTATATAACTCTAACAATAGTGCACCACATATGACCCAAAATCCCAACCACCATTGTAGTCATTGCCTACCCAATGATCATCACCAAACACCAACAAAACAAAATGAAAATTGAAAATCGGAAGAAAAGAAAGTGTTAGAGTATAATCTAGTTTATTAGAGTTTCGTTTCCCTTTTTTACCCTTACTATGACTTTATATTTTTGCCTAGACCACAAGAATATTTAGGTCACTTTGTATTATTATTTGACTATATATATAGGAGGCTTTACTCTTAGTTTGAGTATCCCTTTTTACTCACAATTATTTCAAGTTGGTATCAGAGCCAAACTCAAACCCTAACCCTAACCCTAACCTCCACCATAGACTTCACCATAATTAGCAGCCCCACAACTCCTCAAAGAGCAAGCAGCAAGCAAACTGCCCAGCGAGCATCCACCCAAACAGAACCCAGCAAGCAGCTCCACCGACTGCTAGCAAACCACCCACCGACTTCTAGCAAACTCCACCCACTGCCCAACGAGAATCATACCAGCCCAACCCAAAAACATACGACCAGAAGTTCTGTACATTTATGTTCCTTGAAGGCTGTCTTTTAATTATAGCCTCGGTGCCATGACAATGGCCATTACCCAACCTTGGAAAGGAGTTTGCAGGGCATGATCGAAACTACTGCATAAACAAATGAAGAATTGATTACCAAATCAATGAAATTAAGTCTTGTTCAAACCCCCGAAGCTTAGTTGTAAACCATGTTACCCATAACCCACTGCCCAGCAAAACCAATCACCAATCCTTAACATACAAGCCCAACTCAAAATCGGCAGCCCAAGTGCTAGCCTACTGCTGGATCATTGCCCAACCCATTGTCGGGTCGCATTTTTTGTTGTAGTTTCGTCCTTCGCACTCTTCGTCACAGTGCTGCAAGGTTGTAGTATTTAGGACTTTTTTAGGAGGGAGCGGATCCTTTTTTCCGTTGATAGATCAATTATTTATAGTTATTGAATTTTTGGACACCGTGATCTGATTATTTGGGAGCTTTCTAGACCTTTATCTGTCGCTACTGTTCGACTGGAGGTATATTCTTCTCCCTTATTTTGTCCCTCTATTTATCTTAGAGCTTTTTTTTGTCACGGGTGCCCACGTATTGTTATTGTTATGGCTATTACTGAGGGATTTGAGACCTCTACTATTAAGACCTCTGTTGTTAGTACTTCCACCTGGAATGTACCTCCTAGTTCTCGTTGGTGTGATTATTGTGATCGACCA